TCCTGCCAGTTCTCTCGGTTTAGGGTGTGAAACTCCACCCGATCAATGCAAATCCAATGTGACTTAACAAGACTTTGCGATACTGAGCTCGTCTGTAAAACTAGTGATGTTACAATTCAAGACGTCCACCATAGAATGAGCAGGTTTTTAAACTTGTGGAGGCACAAGGTATTCAAAGGAGCGTCCGAAAACGCACAGAGCTGGCTTTCGTATTTCAGGTGAAAGCTCAAACACTGCTAAAACACTAAATAACAATCAGATTTCCTCTTGATCACAGAGCGTAGCGTTCATGACAGAGTAAATCCCATGTACTTGGCAACGTGCCACAGAAAGGCATTACCTCGCTGTCATTTACAAACTGCCAATTGCCTCATTGAAAGGTTAACTGGACATTTTCCCATATTTGTTTAGAAGATTATCAAATTCCAACCAGCTTCGATGATATAGCAGGCTTTTTGACAACAACTCTCATTTGAACATATGAAAACCTGATCACTCGCTCCTCATCCTGGATATTCTACAAATTATCCACGTGCCAGGTGGATCTTGGATCCTGCGGGACATCTGTCTCAGCCCCACCCAGAAGAACACTGAATGAAATAAAACTGAAAGAACTGCGGATGCTGGAGATCTGAAACAGAAGCAGAAATCGCTGGAGAAATTCAGCAGGTCTGGCAGCGCCTGCGGGGATGAAGCAGAGTTAACATTTCGGGTCCGGTGACACTTCAGTGAGTTCTGATGAACACTCACTTGACTGGAAACATTAACTCCGTTTCTCTCTCCACCGATGCTGCCAGACCTGCCGAGTTTCTCAAGCAATTTCTATTTTTGTTGTTTCTGGTGTGTGTATGACAACAATCTCTGAGAACATTGAATGAAGTCTGTGGGAGTGAAGAGCAATTTCATTGCTCAGTGCAGAGGTAATTCCTTATCATGATAAATAAACACAATTAAGAGCGTCTGGAATTAATTTACAGGTTGACTAAAACCTCAATGATAATTTTCCACCACAGATTAGTAACAGACCTGGGACAAACCTGAAAATGTGTCAAGTCTGTTTGGTGAATGTTATTGGTCGTGGCTAAGGCACAGAGGAAGTCCCTAACTCTGGTTCTCAAGCAATCTAACAAGAGAAATGGTTTCCACTGCTGGCAGATCAATAACCAGAGGAGACAGGATTGAAACAGTTGGCAAAAGAACTAGATTCAAATTGAGGATTTTTTTTTGTGACACAGTGAAATTGTTTTCATCTGCAATACATGGTCTGCGAAGCTGTTAGACTGAATAATGGTTTTTACAAGAGAATTAGACATGTATTTGAAAAAAAGAATAAAACTGAAGGGGTTCGAAGAGATATCAGAGGTAAATAAATTGCACTTTCAAAGGATAGGCAGGATGAATGGCTTCTTCTGTGCCATTTGGTTTCGTAAGGACAAAAGGCTACTCTGTAACATGGCAATGAATTGGTTAACCGTGGGAAACATTTTCTTATTTGCGATTGTGTACACACTTGTGTAAGAAAGAGAAAGAAGCAGAATGGGAGTATAAGACAGCCAGTCAGGAGAGTGGGTGTAGGTGATAGAGAGCCAGGGCGACAGAAATAAAGAGAAGTGACAGAGATAAAGATGATGGACTCTGTATGGACAGTGAGTGGGAGAGAAAAATGCAAGTCACAAAATATTGAAATGATTGGATCCTAATGGCCTTTTCTTATGCCGTTCTGTGTCTCTGGTTTGCATTATTTGGGTACTTTAGTTCATGTGTTGAAAATTAATGTTTAGTCTGATCACCACTGCAGGCCTGTGTCCATTATACTTACACAATCACTTATAACATTGTAGCATGTTTCAAGTACAGACCCCAATGCTAAAGATCTTTTATGAGAAACTATATTATTCTTAGTTGCTTGGAAACTGCATTGTGTCCACCCGGACGTGACAACCATTGGTATAACATCCCATAATATTTATCATTAAACTTTGCCACACATTGGCTAAGTGTGGATGCTGGGTAACTGGGGGAAACATTGGTTCTGGTTAAGTTAATTTTACAGCAATGTTCAAGGATATTTTACAGGAACCTTCCTAAATAGATCACTGAACACCGTAAGTACCTTACACGTGTAAGCAAGAGGGTGCGACACCTGTTTGAGGAATCTGTATCTAAGGAAGGATGTGCTCCCATTGGACGGGGTCCAGAGCAGATTTACAAGAACGATTCTGGGGTTGAAGGGCTTGTCATGTGAGGAGCGGGTGAGGACTCTGTGTCTGTACTCGATAGACTTTAGAATCATAGAATCCCTACAGCATGGAAGCAGGCCATTCAGCCCATTGAGTCCAGACCAACCCTCCGAAGAACATCCCACCCAGACCTACCCCTGTATCACTGCACTTCCCACAGCTAAGCTGCCTAGCCTGCTCATCTCTGGATACTGTGATCAATCCACCTAACCTGTACATCTGTGGACCATTGGAAGAAACCAAGGTACCTGGAGGAAACCCACGCAGACACAGGGAGAACATGCAAACTCTACACAGACAGTCGCCCGAGGCTGGAATCGAACCCGGGTCGCTGGCACTGTGAGGCAGCAGTGCTAACCACTGAGCCACTAGGCAACCCCAAAGGATGAGGGGGGATCTGGTTGAATCTTACAGAATACTGAGAGGCCTGAATAGAATGGATGTGGAGAAGATGTTTCAACCAGTAGGAGAGACTAGGACCGGAGGGCACAGTGTCAGAGTGAAGGGGCCACCCTTTAGAACTGAGATGAGGAGGAATTTCTTCAACTAGAGGGTGGTGAATCTGTCGAACACATTGATCGATTGATTGCCTTATCGTTGTCAAATGTATTGAGGTGCAGATGAGAAGTGTTGTTTTGTGTGCAATACAGGCAGATTGGGCCATACAAAGTGCATCAGGGTAGAAGAGGAGCGCAGAATAGTGCTGCAGCCACAGAGAAGGTGCAGGGAAAGAGAGAGAGATCAGAGTTAACATGGATGTTAATGGATAGCATGCAACCACAATTTTATTCCATTTTCCTAAGGAGGCACCACTCAGAGAATTCTAAGTTGACTAAGGTTGGGATTAAATTGAAAGAAAATACATGAAATGCTGCAAAGGTTGGTGGTAGGCCAGAAAATTTGGAAGATTTTAGGATGACTAACAAAATAAAAAACAAAAATAAAACCTTTAGTTCTCTCAGAACTGTGACTTAAAAGGAATTCGGGGATTTACATATGCATATTAATCAATTAAAGCCTTCTAACTGATTAAAGATTTAACACAGCATCTCAGGTTTGTTTAATACATCCTGATCAGTGGTGTGACCCTTTGATGTTTTACTTATAAATTCTGCGTCTGATACTACCTCTCTCACTAACACCTGAAGGAGCAGCGCTCCGACAGCTTGTGTTTTCAAAAAAAAAACTTGTTGGGCTATAACCTGGAGTCGTGTGATTTCTGACTTTGTCCACTCCAATCCAACACCGGCACCTCCACATCAAAAAGGAGGGAATAATTGGAATAAGAGGGATAACAGACAGTAAAAATATGAAATATTTTTCTTGTAAGGAGGCTTCTTACATTGTGAAAGGCTACAGGATGCTGAGGATCCTGTGGTAAATAACGCAGTTCCTGCCTTCAAAAAGACTGTGCACCATCTACAAGACTCAAGTCTGTCTGTGCAGGTTCAGTCTCCTTATCTGAGGAAAGATATTCTAGCAATGGAAAGAGTGCAACAAAGACTGATTCCTGGATGGCAAAACTGACAGATGATGGGAGACTGGATCAGTAAGGGCTGTATTCACTGGAGCTTAGAAGAATGAGGGGGATCTCATAGCAACCTGTAAAATTCCAACAGGATGAGACAGGGTAAATGCAGGAAGGCTAGGCAGCATCAGAGGAGCAGGAAAGGTGATGTTTTGGATCAGCACCCTTCTTCAGAAAGGGTCCTGACCCGAAACGTCAGCTTTCCTGCTCCTCTGATGCTCCCTGGCCCGTTGTGTTCCTCCAGCTCCACACTGTGTTATCTCTGACTCCAGCATCGGCAGCTCCTATTATCTCTAAATGCAGGAAGGATGTTCCTGATGACCAGTGAGTCCAGAACCAAGGGTCACAGATATGGGGTAAGCCATTTAGGAATGAAATGAGGAGAAATGTCGTCACTCAGATAGTAACCAGCCTGTGGAAATTCTCTGCCATAGAAAGCAGATGAGGTCAAAACCCAGAATGTTTACAAGAAGGGGTTAGACATAAAAACAGAAACTGCTGGAGAAACTCAGCAGATCTGGCAGCATCTGTGGAGAGAGAGAAGAGAGTTAATGTTTTAGGCCCAATGACCCTTCAGAACTGAACTCAAAACCGTCAAGTCTGTTTTCTCTTTACAGATGCTGCCAGATCTGCTGAGTTTCTCCAGCAATTTCTGTTTTCATTTATTTCAGATTACTGGCATCCACAGTTCTTTTGTTTTCTTAGGACTAAAGGATCAAAGGGAAATAAAAACCGAAAGAACTGCGGATGCTGTAAACCAGGAACAAAAACAAAGTTGCTGGAAAAGCTCAGCAGGTCTGGCAGCATCTGTGAAGGGAAAAACAGAGTTAATGTTTTGAGTCCAGTGACCCTTCCTCAGAACTGGTCACCAGACCGGAAACGTTAACTCTGTTTTTTCCTTCACAAATGCTGCCAGACCTGCTGAGGGATCAAAAGGTATGGGGGAGAAAGCAGGAACGAGGGACTGAGCTAGATCACCAGCCATGATCACGTTGAATGATGGAGCAGGCTCGAAGGGCTGAATGGCCCTACTCCTGCTCCTATACGTTTCTATGTTGATACATCACCAGAGAGCTTTACAGTTTAAACATTACAGTGTATTTGTGCTCCTGTTGTTTGTCTGCTGCGTTGTAACGTAGGATGACATGTACTCTGTTGTAGGATCCACTGCAGAGGTGTATTAAAGTACGTAGCAAATTGACACAAGACTTACAGTTCAGCAAAAAAGATACTTGTGATCAAAGTTGTACCAGATCCGAAAGAGCCAAGCGCTTTCAGCCTTGGTGCTGCTTATCTGCGGCTCACCACCACTGCTCTGTGGAGACAAAAATAAACAGCTTCATTTAAGAATGGGTTACTTCAGCACCACTTTTGGACAACGAGATGTTATCTTTGTGAGGAGGAATGGGAACAATGGATCAAATGACCGAGCAGTCTCACAATGAATAAGCTTTCTCATTAGTATGCAAATTGTAACATCCACAGCGGCACTGTGTTCTCAGCTGTGGACATGGAGGAAATGAACCCTGCAGACAATCAGTAGACGCTACAAAAACAGACCATTATATGTCACACAGACAGTGCCCTATTATCACTGACACAAAGATAAAGGATGTTTGGCACAAAAAGATAGCAGACTCTTGTCGCCCTGACTGTGAAAGGTGAGGGGACGTAGCCTGGGGTAAGGTAAATTCTTCCAGTGACCCACCATGATTCAAATCAGAGATAACAGGGTGTAGAGCTGGATGAACACAGCAGGCCAAGCAGCATCAGAGGAGCAGGAAAGCTGACGCTTTGGGTCTGGACCCTTCTTCAGACCCTTTTTCTGAAGAAGGGTTCAGACCCGAAACGTCATCTTTCCTGCTCCTCTGATGCTGCTCGGCCTGCTGTGTTCATCCAGCTCTACACCTTGTTATGTCAGATTCTCCAGCATCGGCAGTTCCCACCATCTCTGAATGATTCAAGTCAGATCCTTGACGTGACTCATGGTGGAGTGTGGTGATTGAGGCCGGTGCCAGGGTTAAGGGAACAGATCCATGGGGTAAGAGGGAGGGAACCATTTTAGCCCCCACACATAGAAAACAGGAGCAGGAGCAGGAGCAGGCCATTCGGCCCTTTGAGCCTGCCCCGCCATTCAATATGGTCATGGCTGATCATCCAACTGTTCCTTCTTTCTTCCCCCATACCCTTTGATCCCTTTAGCCCTAAGAACTATATCTAACACCTTCCTGAAAACATTCAGTATTTTGGCCTCAACCTTAGTCTATTGCAGAGAATTCCACAGACTCCCCACTCTCTGGGTGAAGAATCTTCTCCACATGTCGATCGTAAATGGCCTACTCCATATCTTTAGACTGTGGGCCCCTGGATCTGGACTCCCTGGTCATCAGGAACATCCTTCCTGGGTTTACCCGGTCTAGTTCCCTTAGAATTTTATAGGTTTGCAAGTTTTGCTGCAGGCAAAGGGAGGGCTAAGGTTTTCTTCCTATTTGTCTGACACACAAAGAGGTCTGGGCCTGGTGACTCCTCCAGGGAAGGCTTACCAGGGTTCCCCTGAGGCCTGTGAAACAAATGGGTCCCTCCCACACTGAGTCTCCATGGAAATAACTGGAATAGCACCAAACCATCCAGCCATAACTTCTAAATTAGGATCTCACTTTCCCACAGTGGCGACCTCTAACTCAATGGAGATGAGATAAGGGGAAGAATGGGGACTTGGCTCAATCTAATTCCTTTATTCTCAAGGGTCAAAGAGGACTGGACTCGGTCCCTCCCTCTGGGTGGAATTTAATCCCCAAAGTGGCACTTTTGAGGCTAGGGTTTGTTTAATTGGACAGAGGGATGCAAGGCAGGGACCCCATCACCCTCCTGCCCCACCCAAATTTTTAAAAATTCTTTTATGGGATGTGGGCACCACTGGCCAGGCCAACGTTTATTGTCCATCCCTAATTACCAGAGGGCAGTTGAGAGTAGGGCACATTGCCGTGGGTCTGGAGTCACGTGTAGGCCAAGCCAGGTAATGAGATAGCTGCCCTTCTCTCAAGGACATTGGTGAACAACATGGGGTTTCTTAACACCAACTGACAATGGTTACACAGTTAGTTACCGTTAGTTCCAGATTGCTTCCAGATTTTGCTGAATTCAACTTTCACCATTAGCTGTGGTGGGATTTGAACCCTTGCTTCCCAGGATGTTAGCCTGGGTTCTGGATTGTAAGAATAGCAGCATTAGCTCTGTCTTTCTTTGTCCAGTGTGGGAAGATTAATGGATGGCCTTCCTGCCCAGGCATTGGCTGATGCCCTGAAGTGGGCAATTACCCTCAGTTGAATAGCTGCCAATGGGGTAACGAGGCCAGGAGCAGGAGCTCTTTAGCCTAGTAAGGGAGTGCACATTAAAACCACAACCTCACTGCTGATCCAGTGAGACAACTCAGCTAAAATTAAAGGGAGTTTTACTTTACTGTCAAAGCTACTGATCCAGCTCGGTTAGTGTGTTAACTACAGTGTACATTTCATTGGCACATGGGGGCAATAATGACAGTCATCGCACTTGGGATTGCCTTAGAAAATTACATGCATTGTGTTACTTGGCGAGATTTTCTGACCACATGACTTAGGACATTGTCTGAGGAGGTATGTCTTCTGTATCACTAAAGCGTGACTTCTATGAGTCTGACTCGACCCAGACACAGTTGATTGACTCTGATCAGACCAGGGACTACAAACGAAACCAGAAAGCATTCCCTTGTCTGACATTAGGAAGCTGTACCATCATGGATCATGTCATTGCATCAGTTAACTGTAATTCCTCCAAACTATTGCACCAATTGTACATCAGTCAAAGCATGAATCCATCAGAAGTGGATTCTGTCTTTTCGAGGACTGCAATTTCTTCCTGGGAAAAGGTCAGCTTTGAGATCAATGAAAATTGGTTGAGTAACAAACAGGAGTAATCCACCCTGTAGTGTAAGCGCTTCACTTTGCAGTAACCTCGTTTTTCTGAGTGCCCAGAAAGTCAGGCAATGCGAAGAAGGGAAAATTGGATCGACTTTTGAGCGAATGAACAACTGCAGGGTTATTCGTTTCTGAGCATGTTCAGATGGCACTGCATAGTCTTTGTAGATCCGGTGCTTTCTAACAGTGTTGCGTCTCAGTTATTATCTCGAGGAAAAATAAATGCAAAACGTACATTGGTTGACGTGTAGGAAATTGCAAGCGCCGATGGTTGAATTTCCTGTTCAAGCTGTGACCTTCTCGACAGGCTGATTTCTGAGTTGCAAAATCAGATGCATACGAGCCTGGATACTCGGTGCAGTCTCCCTGCTGGATGTCCATTCAGAAGCAGCCTCTGGGAGCACTATCCATTCACAGGCAGATAAGGTGGGAAAACTCCCCCCTTTCCCACCTCCCCACCTAAACTGTTTGTTGCCTACATTGGCTGTCAACACCCCATTGCCAAAGCCCGTTCACTTTCTCTTCTAGAAAATCCAACCTGCTTGCACTATTAATTTGTTCCAAATGGTTGGAAGCCCCCAGTTTATAGAATCACATTGTCCAGAAGAGGTCCTTTTCTTTATTCATTCATAGGACAAGGGCACTGCTCGCTGGGCCAACATTTATTGCCCATCCCTCATTGCCCAGCAGGGCAGTTAAGTGTTATCCACATTTGCTGGGGGCCAGGCGTTCACATGTAGGCCAGACCAGGTAAGGATGGCAGTTTCCTTCCCTAAAGGATATTCATGGGTTTTTCCTGACAATTGGCAATGGATTCATGGTCATCATTAGACTCTTAATTCCAGATTTTCATTGAATTCAAATTCCACATTTGTCATGACAGGATTTGTACCTGAGTCCCCGGAATGTTACCTGGGTGTCTGGATTAACAGTCCAGCGATAATACCACCAGGCCATCGCCTCCCCTTATGCCCTTCAGCCCATTGAGTCTGTACTGCTAAATCCACATTAGTCCCAACTTCCAGCACTAGGCCCACAACTTTAAATGGGGTGACATTTCAAATGCTCATCCAAATACTTTCCCAGGCAGTGCCTTCCAGACCCCACCACTTATTTGAACGTTTGGCAGGTAACTATTTGGCAGAATGGTTTCTCATGTATACATTTAACTTCTCTGGAGAAATTTTATGCTACAATTAGCATGCTGGAGCTCACCACAACTAGGTCCTATCCCCCATCATCAAACCACTTTCTCAAAGAGAAAAACTGTAGTTTGCTAAAATCACATTTCTCATCGGAAGCCGTGAAAGCATTTTGCACATGCACTGACATTATTACACATTTATGAATCATTGCCTTCGCTCTGGTGCTAAGTTATTACACACGATCAGTTTTAAACAATGAATGATTTCAGAATCTCTGCAGACATATTGTAGAGAGGGAAGGGGCAGGAGGATGTAGGCTTTGATTTAACATCACACATCAGTCTGATAAATAGCTAACTATGGATTTCAAGGGACAGATTCATGAGAAAATTTGGCAGCCTTCGTTTTTAATAGATTTCAGGACCGCAGTAATCTCAGTGGTACTATGTGTGGTTCAGACAGATTATTGTTGTAAGCAATAAGCCTCAGACTCTTGGGTTGTTAAAAATTTACAAACATGGAACATATCCATAAGTCAATACATTTGCAGTGGTTGCGGCTTTTATGGGGTTGTGTGTTGTGTGAGTGCCTGCCCTTTGATTTAAATTAACAGTTGCCTTTGCAGACTTTGTAGTGTTTGGAAAGTTTGGCAGTGATTGGGAGGCAGGAATGCCTATTCGGGCCTTTTATAGAACTTTTCATAACCCAGGAGAAGCAGGAGTGCTCCCTGATCTCTCAAATAGGCCTTCGGCCTCACCAGTGCTGGTCACATACGAATAAGAGTAGGTCATTCAGCCCCTCGTTTCTGTTCCACCATCCACTGAGATCATGGCTGATCTGTGGCCTAATTCCCTAAGCCCGCCTTTGGCCCATATCCCATTGCTTAACCATGTACCCTACTTCTCAAATATGCAACCAGTGGAAATAGTTTATCTTTATCAAACTTTGACTTTTTCCATTAGTATCTTGAAGACTCCAATCAGGTCAACCCTTAACCTGCTGAATTCTAGAGAAAACAGGCCTAATTTGTACAGGCTGTCCTCAAGTCTTAACCCTGGAAGTCCAGGTAGTGTTCTTGTAAATGCACATTTGTACTCCCTCCCAGGACCATTCAGCCTTCTGACGGTGTGGTACCCAGATCTGTTCACAGCGCTACAAGCGGCGTTCAACCAATGCAGCATAAATTTGGAATCCTTGTTCCCTGGTTCTCACAGCTCTCT